GAGCCATTGTTTTTTTTTCCTTTGCTTTTACTGGCACCTGGAAATAGCAAGGTAAGGAGGTCAGTATATAATTTACTACAGTGCCAAATACAAACAGCAGAAACATGCAGAGACTACAACCACCAAAACCTACTGTGTGGAACTTCTTCAAGAAAATAAATGTAAATGAGGTGCAGTGCAAACTCTGCCAGGTTAAGTTAGCATATCATAAATCTACAACGACTATGCACAGCCATTTGAAGGCGAAAGTGGGGTGCGATCCGCAGATCAACAGTCTGGCTATAGCTTTGTCACCAGAAGAAGAAAGTTTGATGATCAATGTGCAGAGCAAATGTCTTTGAATAATTCTCGAGTATTTCCCAGCAAATATCGAATAGTATTTTACGTTGAACTGCCCATGGCCTCACTCAGACTTTACGTGGACTTTGTACTAGGGAGCTAGAACAGTAAAGTTTGCATAATGTCCGGATTGAGTGACTTGTACCTTTGCGTTCTCACATATGGCTCCCCCAGCTCATGTCTAGAGAATTTCAGGGTTCCAGTGCATGTCTGAAAAGTGCTTTAGTGTGGGCCCACTGCTTGTCTACTCCTTTTCACTTTTTTAATCTGGCTTCTAACTTGTGACCTTTTGCCAACTCAGGACTAGCAGGATAGCATAGTGCCATTTGCAAGTGATCCGAGTCTGGTTTGCTTGAGGCCTGAATTGTATTGTATTGTATTTTGGTGGAGATCTGGGCCAAAGTCCACATGCTAAGTATGTGGGATGAGGAGGATACTGTTGCAGCCAGTTCAAGGTAAGGCTTTGAATGAATCCCGTGAAACAAGCATGACCTTTACTATTAATTTAAACTTCTCTTAACAGAAGTCAAATCCATTGCTTACATGCATACTCTGCATCTCAGATGCAGCATGTAGCCCTGCTCTCCTGCTTCCCTCCTCCTCCTTGCCTTCATCCCTCAGAGCTGGAGGCAGGGGCTGTGCCTGTCATGTCTGGGCAGTGCACGGTGCACCCATTGCATGAAGAGAGCTACTGTATTTTCCTAAGAGTGCTGTGTATCCTCACCTAGCAGTGATCCCTGTTCTTCCCATGACAGAACCCGACTGTTCATTTAAAATGTTTTTGACCACTCCTGTTTAAACTGTTAGTGGAATGTACAGTATTTGGTCAAAGCTATAGTTAGGAACCTGTTGGTTCATTTAATTAGGCCTAGTAATTGTCATCAATAGAGATCCACTTACACCAGTACCAGTTTCAGGTTTGATACTGCCCTCTAGTCATGTTCATAAAGGTTATTCAGTACAAACACACTGGTAACACTGGTCTGGTTTATGGTTGGAGTTATTTTATGATAAGTGACATGACAAAAGAAATAGCCGGCTGCGATCTCTGCTTTCCTGCTCTCTGTATCCTTCAGTAGAGAGAGGGGCGCTGACAGAGACACACCCAGCAGAGTAGAGGCGATGTTGTATTTTACTTGAGACAACTATGCTCAGTATGTACAAGTAGTGGAGTATACAAGTATTAAGTACTTGTATCAGTGCTCTGTATCAAAGTTCTTTTCTGTGGTTATTTAGGATGGAAATCTGTGGCATACAACAAAGTGTTTTTTCAGTGGAACAGCTCTAGAAGGTGACGTGAGAAGTGTCACAGATTGTTGTGTAAGGAATGAAAAAGAAGTGCTAGATGTGGAACTAGCCAATCAAGATAAGATACGGTCATCTTTGTCATTGCACCGTCACCAATGAAACTGAAAGTGCCTCATCTAAGGTGCATTGAATAAAATCTAAATAAGCAAGTAAAAACAGGAGTAAGTAAACGAGTATTTATGATATAACAAACAGATATGAGATAGTGAATATATTGTTTGTGTTTGATTAAATTTTTGGACATGCTGTTTGGTAAAACTTGGAGGAGAATTAGTGGCTTGTGTTGAAGATGAGTGTCCTGATAGCCCATAAATAAAAATAGTTTGTCAGTTGGTCTGTTCTGCTTTTGATGCTCCTGCACATCCTTTTGGAGGGCAGCAGACTGAACAGGTGGTGTCTGGGGTGGAGGTGGTCACAAAGGAGCTTTCTGGTCCTAGTGAGGCATCGAGAGCTGGCAGTGTCATCCAGGGAGGGCACAGGGCAGCCTGCTGTCTTTTCAGCTGACCTTATCACCCTCTACTGATTTTTTTTTTTCTCATCAGCTGCTGTGCAGCCAGCATACGGCACTGTGATGGAGTACGCCAGCACGCTCTCGAAGGTGGAGCAGTAGAAGGTCACCAGCAGCTTCTCCTCCGGTCTGTTCCTTCTGAGTACTCTCAGGAAGTGGAGTCGCTGCTTGGCCTTCCTCAACATTGCTGCAAGAAATTCCAGGAGATGTCCTCTAGAGTTTAAAAGTGGAGACCATCTCCACACAGTCACCATTGATGTGGAGAGGGGTGAGGTCAGCTTTGTCCTTCCTGAAATCCATCACCACCTCAGTTTGTTGTTTTTTTTTTTTTTGTTTTTTTTTTTGTTTTTTTTTTTGGTGTTGAGAGTTACTTCTGAAACACCACTCTGTCAGCCGCTGCACCTCGTCCCTGCAGGCCGTCTCGTCTACTTGTATAATTAGCCCCACTAGGGTGGTGTCATCCACAAATTTGATTACTGTGTTGGTGGGGTAGGTGGGGTAGGTGGGGGTGCAGTCATGGGTGTAGATAGCATACAGGATTGGGCTCAGCACATGGCCTTGTGGGGAGCCAGTGCTGAGCGTGAGGGTGGAGGAGCTATGGGTGCCAATCTTAAGTCTGTGGGTGGTTTGTAAGGGATCGTTTAATCCAGGCCTGTGGGGAAATCCAGGGCCGCTAACTTATCCACAAGGATGTCAGGGATGATGGTATTAAAAGCCAAACTGTAGTCGATGAAGAGCATCCATATGGAGGTCCCTGGTCGTTCTAGATGGAAAGGAGCAGTGTGGAGGGCTTTGGAGTCGGCATCATCGGTTAACCTGTTCGCTCTATAGGCAAACTGATAAGGAACAAAAGCAGGAGGGAGGCAGACTTTAATGTGATGAAACATTGTGTGAAGTAGTTGGAAAAATGTTGGATCCTTGGCTTGGAAAATGACAGAAAAACATCCACAACATCACACAACTGTTGTGCACATTCAGGTGGGGGCGAACACATGCTTACATTGTGAGTTTCTACTTTCTATTCAGACTATGTGGAAAATCTGCAGAGGTGTTGTCGGAATGCTGTGGGCGCATTTCGGGGCTGTTGATCAGCAATGATTCAGTTTCACTCTGTAAAGCAGAACTTGAGACCGACCTTTCTTCAAAGGCATTTCCATGATGCTTCCTGACCCTGATTTGTTTCTGGGGGTTTTCATCATTTTTCATAAATGTACTTATGTTTTTGTCATGATATTATATTTTCTTTTGCACCTTGTGAAACACTTAGAATGCTCTATAAGTAAATATTTACTTACGTTTTTGACATTTTGTCTTGAAATTTGAAACTAGTGAAGTTTCTCACATGCCAGAAACAAAATCACCAGAGCTGAACAATCTTCCTCACGAAGCATATCAGGTACTGAAAAGCTCTTTGAGTGGATTCTTGCATTAGCTCATAGCTTATATGAAAGGAAGTTAGCATATGAAAAAGTTGGATTTACTCAGATTGCATCCATATGTGGGGCCTTGTACAGTGGGAATGACCCATAAACATTTCTGTGACAATGAAATCAGTAGAATAAAATAAAATAATTGGGCCCCCAATATAAGAAAGCAAAAACCCTTGAATAGATTGTTAAATGTTGTTTAGATGTGGGGCTTTTCCAGTTGTGCATAAATGGAAGTCAGCTAGATGAATGCTACGCTAACGGATACAGCGTCTAAATGAAACCTTGGTACTTGATGGATTTTGTAGCATGATATGTTCGACATCATTTAACAGAAAAAGAGTAAAGGTAAAGCTGTTTTTCTTCTCCAGACTGAAAAAAAGACTGAACTCAAGGCTCATGGTCACCCTGGTGTCTTGACAGTTTTGTATAATCAGTCCAGTAAGTCTGTGACCCAGTCTTAGAGCATTTACTTTGCAAGGGCATTGGCTAACAAAAATGCTGGTAGGCATTCCAGGATGTTACTGGAGGAGTTGAGCTCTCTGGAGGAGATAAGCTGATGTTCTCCCTCTCCTCAATGTAGCGATGAGTTTGCTATTTGGTTCCACCCAAAGGTGCTCCTCATCTGTTTGGCAGGAGGTGTACTGGCCACTCGTCTTTCCTCTCAGATATGGCATGCTAGGTACAATAATGCACAATCTTTTGCCTTGGTTGTTGGTTAAAGCACCAGTAAAGATCATAAACTGGTAGAGGGGGGGAATGATATAGTGTTTCTCTGTTCACTTACTCGAGCATCTATAAACGCTCCTCAAATGACCTTCCAGCATTTATCTTGTAAAAACATATTTATCAGATGGTTTAGTTGAAGGTCAGGAGACTTGGAGCCTGAGTTCCACAAACACAACATCACTGTTGGCATGAGATGTTCAGATTTCACACAGCCTGTCATTCTGTGGCTGCTAATGCCACATGGGGTTAAGACTGGTTTTAGTGCAGTATTACAGTCTTTAGCTTGTCACTCAACAAGTCATTTGTTGTAAGACCAGCAGTGATTAGTGTCATGTCAAGCTCATTATCATCACACAGCTTCTTTCAGTTAGGAGGTTAAAAGAAGAAGATACCGCGCCCTGCTGACTGCTGTGGCTAGCCTTGTTATCTTTGGGGCAAGTGTTAAATAAATCTGCTCACAAAATTAAAGCTTGACAGAGGCATTCTTCAGAGATGAGTAATGTGTCCAATGATCCTTCAGGGTTTTTACATGATGCTGTGTACATCAGTTCATGTAGATGTGTAATGAATACATTCTGTACTAAGTCTTCCAAGTATAACTATTTATACTTTATTTATACTATTTATGTCCAGTATTCCTTTACAGTTTACTGAATTTGATGTTTTTCGTATTTCCTTCTATTCTACAGAGACCTGAGGTTCAACAAAATCAAGGATTTACAGCCGGGTTCCTTCCGACGACTAACAAACCTCAACACACTGTAAGTCTGTGTCCCCACTCTGCACGCACAGTTGTGAACACATATAACTTCATTTATGCTACAAGTTTGTTTCTTAAATAATATTCGGGGAAACGTGGCTAATGAGGAATGACATCCTCAGTGTCTCAGACTATGAAAAATGAATCCGGCCCTTTTCCTTTGAGCAGCACTGTGCTGGATGCTTGTCACTTAGAGAATGCTGTTTGCGTTGCACACACCTGGGCAGCTACTAGCTCTGTTCTCCTATAGCTCCATGCATGTAGGTCAGCTCGTAATCTGAGAGGAATTTATTTTTCCACGTCCACCCGCAGAGCTATTCATCATATGTCCAGCCTGCTAGATGGTGCATTGCTAAACCAATAAAGCACAGAAGTTCCACATTTTTCATGGGCAGTAAATCAGTTTAGCGATCTTATTGAAATTTTGAAGAAATGAGTGCATATTTCAACATATGTGGCAGTATCTTAATATGGCCACATTTCAGACTGACCTGCTGCCTGCTAGAACAGGTCAAACACACCTCACTTTACTGCAGGCTTTGCAAACCTTATTAAGATGCTCCTCATCCATGCCTCCGATGCATGATGTGGAGTATGGTATAACTATGTAAAAATAGACTACTAGCCCTTTTAGCTCACTGTTAAAAGTGAAGATGTGTAGATCCAGTTATACATTCATCATAATCAACTGGAGAACATGCTCAGGCAGGGTGACTTGTATTAAGAGTAGGAGAACAGAAAGAAAAAAGCCCAGCTTCTATCACCCAGCCATCCATATGGACTGTGGAGTGCTTTCTATCCCTAACAGCACTTTGTGGTTTCAGGCAGTTCAGTCTTTGAACTGTACAATGGCATGTCCATTATTACTGTAGTACCGACAGAAATATGTCTTTTGAAGAGGGGAGTTTCCTCTTCTCTCAGATTGGAAGCTTGTAACTTCTTGTGTTTGTTCAGTCGAAAACGTTTCCTGCGGCATCACGTGAAAAGAGGGAACAAATCATTGCAGAAATTAGGAATTACAGTACAGATTTTACAGTGTAGCCCTTGTGAGTTGGCACTGTGCAACAAAGTGAAATTGTTGACAAGTTGAGTATATCACAATTTTCCCTGAGGCAGAGGTCAGAGGTCAACTGATGCATACAACTGTGAATTACATTATAATGAGTCTTTTCTTGATATAGGCATGGCACGCTAGTAAATGTCAATCTTGTAACCAAAAAATACTGCTGTTTTCTTTTATTCACAGCCTTCTCAACAACAATCATATACGCAGCATCCCCAGGGAAGCATTCGAAGACCTGGAAAACCTCAAATATCTGTGAGTTGCACTCGTGTCAGTTTGGTTTGATTTGTGGGTCAAACTATAGTATATCTTTGTTCTGTCAGACTTAATAGGCAAAAGGTTAGAAAAGCAGAAGGTCATGCTCAGTGAGTGAGAATGACTGAGTGCAGGCTACACAAAATGCATCAGTGAAAAGTCTCCCCTTGTCTCCTCCTGTGTACTTATGTGCCTGGAAGTCTTGACCTGGAGGCAGAGTTGAGAACAGAGGTGGTTGTGAGATGTGTATAGCCTCAGGGCTTTTGTGGGATTGGTGCTATGCACACTGTTAGTCACTTTACAGTAAATTATCATTCCACTGGCATCAGTTGTTGTGAGAGCACCGTCTCAGCTCACAGTTAGATGTGCTCTGATTTCCTTTCTTTGACCTCAGACACTCTATGTACAGCACAGTGCTCTAACACCGGGAGAGAACTTGACATGAAGGTAATGAAGGGAACATTTCATTGGAATTGTATGGTTTTGTTTTTGTATTAGGAGATATTTTGTTTATTTTGAGACTTAGGATGACATTGTTTTATACTATCTTTGACTGTGTGATGGTTAATAAACTCAAAATGTATTAGCAGGAACTAGAGGCCCATGTCTCCGGGGAAGAAGGAGCACATCAGTGTTAGATCACTGCCCAGTTAATATGTAGGATACGCTTGATACAAGATTGTTTATAGTGCTGTGAAAAAGTATTTGCCCCTTTCCTGGTTTCTTATTTTTTGCAACACTTAAATGTTTCAGATGATCAAACAAATTTAAATATTAGACAAATATAACCCAAGTAAACACAAAATGAAGTTTTTAAGTAATGATTTTATTTATTAAGGGAGAAAAGCTGTCCAAACCTACATGGCTATGTGTAAAAAGTGATTGTCCCCTAAACCTAATAACTGTTGTGCCACCCTCAGCAGCAACAACTGCAATCAAACGTTTGTGATAACTGGCAATGAGTCTTTCACATCGCCGTGGAGGAATTCTGGCCCATTCTTCTTTGCAGAATTGTTTTAATTCAGCCACACTGGAGGGTTTGAGCCTTATTAAGGTCACGCCACAGCATTTCAATCGGACTCAAGTCTGGACTTTGACTACGGCACTCCAAACCCTCATTTTGTTTTGTTTTTTTTCTTAAGCATTCAGAGGTGGACCTTCTGGTGTATTTTGGATCATTGTCCTGCTGCAGAACCCAAGTTCGCTTCAGCTTGAGGTCACGAACTGATGGCCGGACATTCTCCTTCAGGATTTTTTGGTAGACAGCAGAAATCATGGTTCCATCAATCACAGCAAGTTGTCCAGGTCCTGAAGCAGCAAAGCAGCCCCAGACCATCACACTACCACCACCATATTTGACTGCTTGTATGATGTTCTTTTTCTGAAATGCTGTTACTTTTACGCCAGGTAGAACAGGACGCACACCTTCCAAACAGTTCAACTTTTGTCTTGTCAGTCCGCAGAATATTTTCTCAAAAGTCTTGGAGATCATCAAGATGTTCTTTTTGGCATTCTCCTTCAGGATTTTTTGGTAGACAGCAGAAATCATGGTTCCATCAATCACAGCAAGTGGTCCAGGTCCTGAAGGTTAACTGAGGCAAGTGAGGCCTGCAGTTCTTTAGACCCACCACCATATTTGACTGCTTGTATGATGTTCTTTTTCTGAAATGCTGTTACTTTTACACCAGGTAGAACAGGACCACTGTTCCATATTTTCTCAATTTGTGGATAATGGCTCACACCGTGGTTCGCTGGAGTCCCAAAGCTTTAGAAATGGCTTTGTAACTCTTTACTTTAGAAATGGCTTTGTAACCCTTTCCCGACTGATAGATATCAATTACTTTGTTTCTCATGTGTTCCTAGATTTCTTTGGATCGCAGCATGATGTCTTGCTTTTTGAGATCTTCTGGCTACTTCACTTTGTCAGATACGTTCTATTTAAGTGATTTCTTGATTCAACAGGTCTGGCAGTAATCAGGCCTGGGTGTGGCTAGTGAAGTTGAACTCAGCTTTCCAAAAAATGTGATTAACCACAGTAAATTCAGGATTTTACTTTCACATAGGGCCATGTAGGTTTGGACAGCTTTTTTCCCTTAATAAATAAAATCATCTCTTAAAAACTGCATTTTGTTTACTTGGGTTATCTTTGTCTAATATTTAAATTTGTTTGGTGAGCTGAAGTTTGAGTAAACCTCAACCCAACTTCCACCACACTTCCTGTTTTAGTTAGAAAAACATGCTTACAATAGAAACCATTTGCATATACCACTTGAAGCTACCACACACTGACTTCTTAACTTCCTAATTCAACACTCACAACTACACAGAACTTCCCGAGACTTCCTTGAGTATACGTGTACAAAAACTACAGTTCTTCTCCAGCCACTCTGTAAAACATCATCATTGAATCATAAAAAAGACAATAAATGTATCTACAGCATTTGCCCTACAGCTAAAATCTTCCAATACTGCAAACCACCATGACCCATTTGTTTCTTTGAGCTCATACAAAGGATTTTGTGGCTAACAGCTAAATGAAACAAGGTGGTGACAGTAATGCACGGATGTGACATGCACACACACGCAAAAGCCACATATGCACTGCATACAGCTTTGCTCTGCATGATGCTGGCCACAGTGGGCACACTGACAGGATGCCACTTACACTAAATGCATTGAGTTCCAGAGTGGATGTGTAGAAGTGTGTGTGTGTGTGTGTGTGTGTGTACCCATCTTTATATGATTAGGTGTTAGGCATTTAGTTGTGGTGGCTATGGTTCAGATAAGGAACCAGGGACTGCAGTGGACTATGGACTATGTAACATGTTCATTGGCTGTTATTCACATCTGCAGGTTCATGCACCTGCTTGCTCCAAAGACAGTCAATTTTAGGTATGAAGCCAGACTTTAGTTCACTGTGAATGGGGACCTGGAAAACATATGCACTGGCTGTGGGTACTCAATCATGATTTCACACAATCACCTTTTACTATTAATCTGAAGACATTTTGCAATTGAAGAGGTTATTTCTCAGGAGGATGTTGATAGCACAGTGCTGTAATTCAGTCATATCAATTTAACTGGCCCAAAACGCATTATCCTTAACAATTATGTTCCCTATTGGCCTATCATGTAAACCAAGGGTTAAATAACACTGTCACAACATCAGAGGCTGTTACAGTGTGGACATTTTTTCCTATTCATGTTACAACTTAATAAGGGAGTGCAGAGTTGGTAGTGAATACCAAAGGTATGAGGATCCCCCTGTGCCCATACTGGGGCCTAAGTGTCAATTAAGTGAAGTCTTAATGCTACAATGTACAAAGACATTTTAGGCAGTAGTATGATTCAAACGGTGTGGTGACTGTTTCCAGAAAGAGATGTTTCTCTGTGTTTGGCTTGGAAGAACCTGACTGGCCAACAAGTTCAACTCCAAGCCAGGTCTTATGACTCAACATCAGTGATGCCTGACCCAGCTAATGCTACTGTGGCTCAGTGGGAGCAAATCACTGTAGCCATGTTTCAAAATCTTCCCAGAACAACACAAATGGTTAATGGTTTTAAGATTAGATGATCTGTCATAAAATAAGGGTGTCATCTACAAGTGTCCACATCGGATATTCCTGTTCCTTGTCCGGTGTTAATTTCATTAATAAAAACTATGACGGAAAATGTTGGTTGATCTATTTTTCAAGATGAAATCAAAACAAATTAAAAAGTAACATTTGATAACAAGAACTATGACAAAATGTTTTCCATCTTTTGACAATGAATAAAAAGTAAACAATGTGAAAGACAAACAAACATGAAGTAACTTAACGACCTGCCACATCTGTCAATCACAAACCGTAAGTGCTGATCAGTAAAGGTTTCCTCCACTGGCCAAAATATCTTTTGTTCAGGAATTAGCAGCTTGATATGTTTTACTACCGTCTTATATTCAGTAATGTTTTCTCTCTGGCATTAGCGCTTCCTGGAAGAAACAAGTTTACAAATCATATTCATCTCCAATCCAGAGAATTACACACAAAAGACTAAAATGAAATCAAATTCAGGTCATGTACTGTAACCAAGTGTGAAAAATCATGAAGGTAATCATTCTATCTTTCATTGCAACAGTTGTGAGGTAAACAGTGCAAATACAGTGCTGTCATCTAATCGGAATGCGCACTGGCATGTATTCGTTGGGACTAAATGACAATGCAGCGCGCTGAAACAAAAGAGTTGAGCCAGGTTCTACCCAGAGCCCCTCTGCTGTGTCAGTGCAGAGGCCTCGTTCAAATGAATGAGGGAGCTGTGCTTTTTGTGTCACTGTGTGAGTGCAGCAACATATAATATTCACGGCTCCTTGCATAAGGCACAATGTGACCAACACTCTGCATTTGAATCAATCCAGGTTAAGGGTATGGACTTATGCTACGACAGATATGTGCAGTAATAAATCAGACCGCCTCTGTGCTGTTCTGCCATGATTACCTTGAGAGCCCTGGTGGCCACTGTAGTGGCAGTCTTCATCATGCCATCAGCAATACCCAGCCTGTCAGTGTTCTCGATGAAGGGTGTTACCAGGGTGACAAACTTGGCGCCGGTCCAAGGCTTAAGGAGACTCGGTGCCCAACCCTCAGTGTCCCCCCCAACATTATCCAGGATGAGGTCAAATCTTGAAGAGGGGAGAGGCAGGTTTGGTGAAGACAGACACGAGCAGTGATCTTCTGAGTGCAACTAGATTTGTTAGAGGATTAAAGGTTTCACGATTTTCCCACACTAGTGAGCTGACTGCAGCTAGGGAGACTGGGTTGCCATGGTAACAAAGGCAAGCCATTGATACATAAAATGAAACAACAAACTAACAAATCAACGACATAAATGAAAAATAACATTAGGTATGTGTGTGATGTGGTGGGGGCAGGGGTATTCTCTTACTTCTCCAGTGCACTAAGGGGCTCCTCAACGGGTCCAGCAGTGTAGTCCACGACATGGTCTACCCCCAGTTCCCTTGCAAACTGCTCAGCATTCTGGGAGCAGGTAACAGTCACATGGGCTCCCCAAGCCTTCAGCATCTGGACACAAATGATGTATTAGTTCAGGTTATAATGTGTCAAAACAGCATAGAAATCTGTATAATTTATATGTACACAACAAATATATGTTCAGGTTGTAATTAAAGAATATGTAATTAAAAAGATGAAATGTTACATCTGTGTAATGTGAGCTGCACTGTTCAGGTCACCAGACTTTTTATTGTGCAATAATTTGTAAATATAACCATTGTACATATATAAAAGCTCTTCTTTCACACTGTATATATTAATATTTATTTTACTTCATCTTTTACAGCAAGCTGTTTTTAAACTCACGCACTTTAAAATTTTTTACAAAATAGCATAATATACTGGCTGCTTGGCCATGATCCATACCTGTATAGCAAATGTTCCCACTCCCCCAGATCCTCCAAGGATCAAAATCCTGTGGAGAAGTCAAAAAGCAGAAACGTACAGTGAAGAGGACACGAATGTTTTCTACACTACTGTTGCCTCATGAGCATTTATGTCAAATGCCCTCCTGGCTTTAGCATGTCAGGTTCACTGCATGTGTACGGGCGTGTCTGGGCGGCTTCCAGAACCAGAGCACATCACCCAGAAGCTCATTATGGAGCAGGGTAAAAAGGGTTAAGCCTAAAAGGAGCATGGAGTACAATAACTGGCTAGATCAAAAGCACCAAGCTTCTTTGGGATGGACAGGGACATCTGTGTGTAGCAGTGGTTGGCTGCATTCCCTTACCGCTTCTTGGCACAGTTGTCCTTACTGAGTCCACCAGTGTTGACCAGGGCTGACCAGGCAGTGGTTGCTACATAGGGAATGGCTGCTGCCTCTGTGTGGCTCAGTGACTTTGGTTTGTGGGATATCTGAGCACAACACACATTTATAATTTATAATATAGTATTTATAAGAGTAGCACCATCTCAACACATTTCAGTAATATCCCTGCTAAGTCATTATGAACTAGACAGCACTCAGAGCGCAACCTCTACCTCTAGAAAACTTTCATCAAAACCCAGGCATTATTTTTTGAGTTATGCTATTAGCAAACAAACGGCAGCAAAAACATAACCCTCGACCTTGGCGGAGGTAAAATGTATGTCAGTGTCATAACAACTGTGTCAGCTGATCTTTACATATATTATTTGTTCTTTTTAGCAAGTAAGAAGGTGTAGGCTCCATTGAATTTTAGAAGTAAAATACATATTGCACAAACTGATGTTGAAACTAACAAAGTCCATCACTGAAACAAAATGCAATCAACAAAAAAACGAAACAGAACTGATAAAATGATGCTTCCGCACAGCTAAAGGCAAACCTATGCTCAAAGCGTGTCTGAGTGCACCAGCTGAACAATACCTCATTGCCACTCAACACCACAAATTCAGCCAAGCTGCCCTGCTTCCATGGTGGGATGGCTGCCCACACCTGGGGGAGACACACAACAACACAAACTGTCAAAAACAACTGTACATCTAAAGCTCTATACAGTTCACACCTCGTGAGAAGTGTTTCTCAGAAGTAGCACATTTTTAATGTCACACAATGAGTCACTCTGCTGCCTCTGGTAGTCAACAAATGTAGTAAATAAAGGCAGACTGCTCAACTGTACTGTGTTTAATTAGTGTCAAAAATAAACATACAATAATAATAATAATAAAAGCTGGAATAGTCAAATAATGGCATTTTTGCCTGAAATTTTTATTTAAAATCAATTAACTATAAAATAGTTGATTTAAAATAATAACTTAAAATAGTTTAAGAACACAATTTTTAATTTTAGTTAAGATTTTATTTTTGACGACTGACATTGATTAAATCGACAATGGATTCTGTTTTTTAAAAATATATTATCAATTAAAATATTCCACATTAGTCCAAGTTGAATTTGCGGCCTGGTGGGTAGGATTCAGCGCTCTCACCGCTGCGGCTCAGGTTCGATTCCCGGTCAGGGAACCTCTAGCCACAGGGGCTTCACACTAGTGACTTCTATGCTGGTCCCAAGCCCGGAAACATAGAGAGCGGTGCGTTAGGAAGGGCATCCGGTGTTAAAAAAAAAAGTTGCCAAATGTCAAACCATGCGAATCATTTGATTTGATTTGATTTATTCTTTCAAGCATGTAAAAACAGTTGATATGACAACACACATACACATAATCCAATATCAATGTGCTTATACCTAGTACATACTAGGAAGAAGTCAGACTTATCTAGTCCTACCCCATGACATCATCTTACCATCATTGGTTTGCAAGCAGTAAATGATTATCTTCTACACCACACAAGTAATATACTAAAGAATTATTACAGAGTGTTAACATTCATACACCACACCCACAATGTTCCATCTAATTAATCATTAAACCTGTTCTTGCATATATCTTGATTGACACATACCTTTATATTTATGTTTAAACTCGTCAATTCTATTACTATTTTTTATGTCCACACTTAAATTATTCCATAGTTTTACCCCACTTATGGAAATACAAAATCTTTTTTTGGTTGTACGTATAGCATGAATTTTTAAATTTAACTGACCCCTTAAATTGTATCCCCCTTCCCTTTCATTAAATAGTTTTTGAATTCCACCAGGTAATAAATTGCTCCTGGCTTTATACATAAACACTGCAGTCTTATATCCCACTAAATCAAAAAATTGTAACAATTTAGACTGTATGAAAGCTACATTGGTGTGATCCCTATACCCCATCTTATGCACAATTCTTATCGCTCTTTTTTGTAATATATACAATGGTTGAAGTGAGCTTTTATATGTATTTCCCCAGTTTTCAACCAATGAAGAATACAAAATACATAGTGCTTTCCCGTCCAAAATATATCTAACCCTTGCCAATATCGATATATTCTTTGCTATTTTGTGCTGAACATATCTGATATGAGATTTCCAGGAGAATTTGTCATCAACTATGACACCTAGAAATTTAATTTCATATACCCGTTCTATATTAGCTCCCCCAATTTTCAATTGAAGTTCATTATCTAGTCTACGATTCCCAAATACCATAAATTTAGTTCTATCCAAATTCAGAGATAGTATATTACTATCACACCATAAAACCACTTTCACTAAATCAGAAACCTTGCATATATCATTAATGTATAGTATAAATAATTTAGGTCCCAAAACAGAACCCTGAGGCACTCCACATACAATGTCCAGCTCACTCGATTGGTATTCACCCAATCATCAGTGCGATCAGATGATTCGCTGCGGAAACCCCTAACGGGACCAGCCGGAAGTGGAGGAGGAGGAGTCCAAGTTGAATTTGCCACACTGGTTCAAACCACCAGCCACATGTGCAAGAGCCTTTTCTACCTCACCCCAAAGATACTTTCCTGATCTGTCTTATCATAAGGTGTTTTCACTCCCTGTCACTGCAGCTAGATGCCTCTGTTTACAGCGCCCTGACCACATTCTTTACACTCATATTTGATTCATACATGAATCATCGTGTGCAGGAATGAGCAGTTTCCATAAACCAGGGGTTCCAGCAAGTAAAATGAAGTAGTTACCCAGTACATATGCACACACCTTTCTTGTGTTACTATTTGCTTCTTTTACCTCATCCCTTTCTCTGAAGTACTTCACATCCAGGCCACACTCCATGATGACTCCTGACACGTCCCTCCCCAGGATGAGCGGGAACTCGTTGCCTGACTGCTTGATATTCAGAGGGTCTCTCTTCATAGACATCGTAGCTGCACCATAGCCACCTGACAGGGAGAGAGTTTCTGATTAGAGCCAAAGCTTATAAATGCAGTCAAAGATAGAAATTAGTGAAAGACAATAATTTGCTGTAGCACTAACACAAAATGAAAAATGTCTGTACTTTTGGCTGCTGTTAGATTGACTAACCAACAACATAAGAAAAAGACTTGAGGCATGAAATGTAATTCCATACGTGGTTTAAGAGTATATAGTGGTTAGTGGTGAACAGAGTGACTATAGTGTTAGTGTTAAAAGCCGAAATAAAGGAGCGAGGAACAAAACAACAGCAAAAAAGAAAAACCCCACAAATTTATAATGTAAGTGCAGAGTTTGACACCACAAGGCTGTTTCTTTGTGCTCATTTCAAATCTCAGTTTAACATGCGTACACACATGCATGATTTTGTGACATTTGAAAGTTGGATTACAAAACACATCTCTGCAACTGATCACCAACCTGGCAACAACCAAATAGGCCTAGGTTTTAAAAAAACATGACACCGTCCAATAGCAAGAGCAAAATTCAACCTAGCTGGGGAAACTTGCATTTCCACCAAGTAACCTTAACCACCACTGCTGCTGTTGCCCCTCTCTCTGTGGGAGATTAAGACAGGCTGTATGACTTATTTAGTAAACATCTAACATCTAACAGAGACAAAAGAAGTTATTTTTCATCTTCCATTATTTTCTAAGCTTGTATTTGCAATCACGGGTCAGATGTGTGTTTTTTTAATGAATTCATTGCTATTTACAGTGACAAGCATCTCTAACACCTCTTAATCACAGCCTGCAGGCTCATATCTGATGCCACATTAATGTGCATGGGCTTGTTACTCACCTCTCATGCTGACATCAATTGGATTTAATCCTGCTGCAAACACTTTGACAATAACCTCGTTGGGGTAGTCGATGACCGGAAAGCTGGCGTTTTTAGTGAACCGTAAAACATCATTGCTTCCATATTTATCAATAACCCAGGCTGGCATAACAGTCATACATCTGCTGGAGGTACTGAACTGGGTGCCATGTCTGGAAACTGATGTGTTCACACTTGCTGATTTGCTGAGGTTAAACAACCTGCTACTGTAAACTAAATGTCTAACAGAAGTCATGTTTATGTCAAATAAAACAGTGCGACTGCAAATTCGCAGTGTCTGTTCTAGACAGAACAATTCAAAGTGTACAGTCAGTGTGCTAAAGTGAACAGCTTTAACAGACGTTTGTTATAAACCACCTCTATCTTCTTATTTTAAACGTGTTGCTATCATAAAGGTATTCCTAACTAGTCATTTGGATAGTTCCAGTAATTCAAAAGCTTCTAGACAACGTCTTCCTTAGTAAGAAGCCTCGTTCTCTACCTGCATCTTGGCCAACGCGCAAGCGCCTCCACCAATCAGGGCGCGGTTTGCTCAACAACTGTCCAATCACAGAACGCACTGTTAGACGTTGATTATCGAAACAAATATGGCAGCCCGCTACCTCTGCACACTGTGCGAAGGTTGTTTTTCATTTGTAAGGTTGTCACAGAAATCCTGTCAATATGTTAAGTCTGACAATAAAGGAGGTTGGTACGAGTGTTCGCTTGTTGTCCTAGCGTAGTTCTGCGCGTTTGCCAGTTGACTTTGTAACAGATTGCTTTTTAGCTGTATAGGACATGTGTGTTATCGATTCATAATTAACGTTGGCTTAGGTTAGAAAATACGTTAGCTAAGTTAAACTTTTTGCTTTTCCTCCCAAATTGGCAAGTTAAAGCATGTCATCAGCTCTGACAGTTATAACCTCAGTCAAGTCGTCCTGTCTGGTTAACCTGCCTTCTCTACAGTGACACAAACTGTTTTATACAATTGTATGGATGTAACGTCAGAGCATAACATATAAATAGTCGAGTACTTAAAGTATCGGTACACCAATAGAGTTTTTAACGTTAAATTAATGTCTTTTTCGCTTAAGGCATATATATTTATTAAACAGGAGAAGCACATTTAACTTTTGGTTTCAGGGTCCTGGTGTTGTGCATGCTGGCTTGCTGTCCTGTCCCTTTGTCATGATTTATTGGGACATTTAAATAGGCTGGAGCCACCATGTTATTACTAACGCCAGTTTTTTTTTTCTTTTAGCCAAAATGTGCATTGAAAAAGGTCTGAGTAAAAGAAACTAGTTAAATTTCACCATCGTTGTTTCGTCATTGTTCTTCAGGTGTCTTTGGCCCTCAGGGAGGGAAGGATATCCCCGACAGAGCTTTGTAGAAGGTGTCTGGACCGCATCAAGAAAACACATCTCAATGCTTACATCAGTGTGACAGAGGATTTGGCACTGAAGCAGGCTCAAGAAGCAGAAACCAGGCTGCTGCAAGGTGTGTACACATGAGTGTGTATTTGCATCAGTTCTGTGTGGAGATGTACTGTAGGTCTTACGGTTTGATCCGGTTTTCCTTCAGGTGTCCCTAAAGGTCCTCTGGATGGAATCCCCTTTGCAGTCAAAGACAACTTCTGTACAGAGAATATCAAGACCACATGTGCCTCCAGGATGCTCAGAGGTATGTCTTTGCCTCAGTATAAGTTACCACATCGTAAATTTTCCACTTTATGTCAGTCCAGTAATGATGACCTATTTACTTTTGCAACAGACTATACTCCACCATACAATGCTACAGTGGTCCAGAAGCTCCTGGATCAAGGAGCTGTTCTGGTGGGGAAGACTAACATGGATGAGTTTGCTATGGGGTAAGACCATTGTTGTCTGTGGTAGAATAGCTCTGTCCTCACACCATGCATTTTAGTAACCACAAGGTACAAATCCCAGTTATTTTTCATATTGATAGATAAAGCTGTGTACACCAGCAGAGAGAAACGCCACATGTTTCAGGTCGGCATTGTTTTATTTATTTACTTGACTCACAGTGCAGGAAGTACTGACGGGGCTTTCGGTCCAGTAAGGAACCCCTGGAGCTATGCTGCTCCCTACAGACAACAGACAGGGGCATCACCAGACTCTGACTGGGTCATTGCTGGAGGAAGCTCAGGAGGAAGTGCTGCAGCTGTGGCCTCACTCACCAGCTACCTGTGAGGGAACACATACAACTTAATTGTTCAGGAAAATTGTTTAAAGAAAAAAAAAACATCAGAGAAGTACAAAAAAGAAAGATTTGATTCAATATGGTGTTTACAAATGTAAACGTACTGTGTTGGTAATACTTGGCAGGGCTTTGGGTTCAGACACAGGTGGTTCTACTCGTAACCCAGGAGCACTGTGTGGTGTTGTGGCCTTGAAGCCAACCTACGGTCTGCTGTCCAGACATGGTCTAATCCCTCTGGTCAACTCCATGGATGTGCCCGGCATTATTACCCGCAGTGCCAATGATGCAGCCATTGTCTTAGGTAGGAAACCTCAGATGACCTGTCATTCAACAGATGTAGGTGCTATTGGCTAGTGTCCTACATTCACAGTTCAATGTCATCTAGGCCTACATTAAAAACTTTTCAGATTCAGAATCGGAATCAGCTTTATTGGCCAGGTGTGTCGCACACACGAGGAATTTGACTCAGGTACATCGGCTCTCAATGTGTATGTACATATCCCCATGCAAGGGGCAAGTAAACAGTAAACCAGTATAAGGCTGTGTAATATAATAAAATAAGCAGTATTAACAAGCAACAAACAGTGCAGACAGACAAAGAATGCTCATTGTGAGTACTTAAAAACAGAGACCTGTATGGATCTGTATAGTCTGTACAATGTATATTTACAGGTATTGCACTGAGGTTTATAGTCCAATCATACTGTCATTGGTCAAGTGTTCATCAGAGTGACAGCCTGGGGGAAGAAACTGTCCCTGTGCCTGGTTGTCTTAGAGCACAGTGACCTGTAACACTGTCCAGAGGGGAGGAGTTCAAACAGATTGTGTCCTGGGTGTGAGGGGTCTGCAGTGATCCTCTCTGCCCTCCTTTTGACCCGTGAGGTGTACAGGTCCTTCATGGAGGGCAGGCTTGCACCAATTACCTTTTCTGCAGTCCTGACTGCTCTCCTTTTCTTGCTCTCTCTGAGTTTGGGATGTCTGTGTTTGAGTTTGAGCTACAGAGTCAAAGAGAGCTGAGCAGGAAGAATGGAAAAGGGAAATTATTTTATCAAGACTTGAAAGAAGCTCAGCAGCAAGTGAATAGAAGTTGCGGTGGCATTTCTCTGATAACTTTCATAAAACCAACTTGCAGTGAGAGAGTTAATATAACAGAAGTGGTAACCTAGGGTGTTGGTGGTAACACTGAACACATTAGGCTTATCATTATGGGGGCGGTTGTGGCTCAGGAGGTATAGCAGTCGCCCCCAACTGGAAGGTCGGCAGTTTGATTCCTGTTCTCCTGAGTCCACGTGTTGAAGTGTCCTTGGGCAAGACACTGAACCCCAAGTTGTTCCCAATGGCCAGTGCAACACTCTGCAGGGCCAGCACCGCCATGTGTGTGTGTGTGTGTGTGTGTGTGTGTGTGAGTGAGTTGGCTCATTCTGTTCCGGAGACAAATTCCTTGTGTGTGTAAAACATACTTGGCCAATAAAAGTGATTAGCATTATCAGAAAAACATGCATCCTCAATGTTTATATTATCAGTAGGAAACCCATAAGACATATTAAGGTCAAGAGTCCTTTCCTCTGTTTAGGTCTGTCTTTCATCCAGTTTAAGTTTATACACATACACTTTCCCAAAATACATCAGTGAATGTGGGTATCCAAGGTACACTGTGGAGTTGTGACCACTAGTAGCACTATGGACTAATGATTTGATGAGTGGATCCCCAGTTTGTTAGTAACATGCATGAGGGTGACACAGCTCACATCCTGTTATTGGTTTCAATGTATAACAGCTGGTCACTCAACTAGCAACAGTTTTATTATGTCCCAACGAAGGCAAATGAGCAAATGTAACAGTACACAATTTACAATAGTTTTAAAATGTCTTTGCAAATGTTTCACAAGGAAGAAAGTGCATTCAACATGTCTATTAGACCTTAGCTGAGTAACAGTGAAAGCCAAAATAGCATTTTGTGTGCAAGAAATCTCCACAGGCCACCTTTAAATCAATCCATATAATGACAAGGATGTGTGATGCTATAAATGAACCAGTGTAGCTGTTCCATGTGGCTGTCCATCCATCTTACTGCCCTCAGACAGTTCACCTAAACATCTGTTTTCCTGAAATGTTGCTTAGGGATCCTCCAAGGCCTCGATCGTAGGGACTCAACAACAATCCCCGCCCCTTCGCCCCTGACAGAGCTACCTGAGGACTTTGACGTCAAGGACATGTGTATAGGCATTCCGAAGGTGAGTCATGAACTCCTCTATTATCTCAGCATCACTCACCGTGTTTTCCTGACATAATAAAAGAAATAATCAAAGAGCCTTTCAAGGGTAGTTGCCAGCTGATGGTTGCAAAGTGTCATGTAGATATCATTTTGAATGTAAGATGTTAGTAACTTCAGTTTTGTTAAAATGTTAAACACTGTGGAGGGGAGCTACAGTTCCCATGCTAGTAAAAGGGAAGTAAAAGATTTATGATGCAGATTTATGAGGCGTTAATATGCAATACTGTATAAATAAAACGATTAGAAGTTCATAGAAAAACATTGTTGTGAGGAGCTTATCATCAGTTTGACTACAAAAGAAGCAGTTGATAGTATCATATGTTTTAAACTTTATATCTTCCACTGACTTTAAACTGGTAATGATGGTTTGTGTACCCTAGCACGGTATGATCAAGACAAGTTTCTTGTACAGCACATTACTGAATAAATAAGGTTTTTAGGATCATGCCAGTTTTTAAAACTATCTTCTCTCCTGTCTCATAATGGATGTCAGGAGTACCATGCCCCGGGGCTGTCTGCACAGACTCTTGCTCAGTGGAGTCATGTTGCTGACATGCTTGAGAGAGGAGGGGCACGGGTGGAACAAGTATCCCTACCACACACCCAGTACTCCATTGTGTGCTACCGTGTCCTGTGCCACGCTGAAGTGGCATCTAACATGGCCCGCTTTGACGGCCTCCAGTACGGTATGAGAGACTATTTACTCTGTTAAGTTGGTGGTGTGGAGCATTTTATAGTAGACGCCACATCACAAATCAGATTACACCCAACCATTCTGTAAGTGTTGCCAACATGTCACAAGATCATAATAAAGGTAATGTTATTGATGTCTGTCCATCTTCTGTCAGGCCACCGTAGTGAGGTGGACAGCTCAACAGACGCCCTGTATGCTACCACCCGACATGAGGGCTTCAACGATGTAGTGAGAGGGAGGATTCTGTCAGGGAATTACTTCCTGCTTAAACAGTAAGACAACAGACAGAACTTTCTCACACCATTATACTTCAGTCCAGCAACTTCAAACCAGTGTGTAGCTGACTGGCTGACATGACCACCACCATTTTTCCAGGAACTACCAGCACTACTTTGTGAAGGCCCAGAAAGTCCGCCGGCTGATAGCGAATGATTTTAAGCAAGTGTTCAGCTCAGGTGTCGACATGCTGCTGACACCCACCACTCTTACTGATGCAGCCCGTTACTCCGACTTTACTCAGGAAGACAACCAAACACGCAGCGCACAGGAAGACGTCTTCACGCAGCCTGTCAACATAGCAGGTAGAGAGAGGAAAAAAAGATGCCTTCAGGCAGAACTTGTTGCATTGTTCATTCGTGCATAGGAAGTGTGGGAGGATTCAAGTACTTGTATATTCTGCATGCATGCATGGATACACATTATGTACACCCACACAAAATGACTTCAGCATGGCTGATGCTTCATCTTATTATCCACAGTAAGAGCACACTAGAATATAAAGGGAAGTAAAAAGAGGAAATATTTGTGTGAAAAAGCGGTTTTTTATTTTGTGAAAGAGCCCATGGCATGCTCATTTTGCTCGTTTCCAGCCATTTCCATGTTTAATCTTGAGTACTTATAGATGATTAGCTTTGCACCCATCATAACTCCAAATAGTCTTAATTCAGAATGATAAAACCAGAGAGCCTATTCCTAAAAACAGGAGGATAGTTTGTGAATGCACACAACTCCTGTCGACACAACACCAGCAAAAGTGGACAGCACACGAGCCACCAGCACAACGAGCCACGACCATTAATTAATTTGAAGTTCTCCTCCATAGATGGGTAAAGGGGTAATTGAGAAAGCCCATATTTTAACTGGCATAATGCAGCAACTTCTCCAGCCTTACAGCAGTTCTCTCTAAGGTTACACAAACAAGGCATTAACAGACGTGCAACATGTTTGTTTTTTTGTTTAGTTTTTTTTTTTAAGTCCCACCAAGTAGTGGAAACATCAGTCCCTTTCAGGTAGATCCAAGGTGTGTAAATCCAACTGGTGGTCACTGCTTCCCCCCCACATGACCACATACAGTCCCAAAGTAGTGAAATTAATTCCAACATCATGGATCCTTAAATACTCATTAAAGCAGCAACACATCACATGCAGCAGACACACTGGCCTCAAGAAGTCAAAACAAACAGGTACTGTGCTCTGGGGAAATCCAGAGCTGATGAGCTAATCATTCACCTTTTTTCCCCTTAATAAATAAAATCATCTCTTAAAAACTGCATTTTGTTTACTTGGGTTATCTTTGTCTAATATTTAAATTTGTTTGGTGAGCTGGAACATTTAAGTGGCACAAATATGCAAAAAAAAAGAAACCAGGAAGGGGAAATACTTTTTCACAGCACTGTTAGTCAAGGAAATGCATGCCATGGGCTCTTTAATCTCTGAAGGCAAAAATAACATCTTCCCCACACTGATTTCAGTTCAGACTATCCATCTGTCCATTATATTCCTGAATAGGGTCACGGGGGGCTGAAGCCAATCCCAGCTGACAGTGGGCAAGAGGTGGGGTACACACAGGGTTGACATGTAGACAAAAAAAACACACACACTCATGGGCAATTTCAAGTCACCAGTCAACCTAAGCTGTATCTCTTTGGGAGGAAGCCAGAGTACCCAGAGAGAACATACCAATTCTGTACAGAAAGGCCCTGGGTCAGCCGGGACTCAAACCCGAAACATCTCGCTGGAAGGTGGCAGCGCTAACCACCACGCTGCTGAGCTCAGCTGCCCCACTTCAGACTAAATTCAGTTGAATTTTCTTCTGCCTTTTATCATGCCCCAAACTAACCTCTAACGTTGAGATCCTAATCATTTCCTTTTCAAGAAATGTCGTGCAACTCTTTCTTCTTTACCCCAGGTCTCCCTGCTGTTTCTGTGCCAATTGCATTATCAAAACGAGGCCTTCCCATTGGCTTACAGCTCATAGGCCCAGCCCTCCAAGACAAAAGGCTGCTCAGTGTTGCCCAGTGGATCGAGCAAAGGGTGGGCTTTCCCTCCATCAGTGACTGTGAAGACTCCAGTGAGAGCAGGAA